GTTCTCATGAGTGGGACCATTCCTAGGAGACTGAAGTGCAAAGCAAAACAGTGCTATATTGGCTCAGTACTTGGAGCTTGATTTGCCCTTTCTGAAATCCTATGGCTAATTCAGACCCTGGAAAATGGAGTATATCCTGGCCAGATGGCTCAGTTTAAGAAAAGGAAGGCAACTGTGTAGCTGCAATAGCAGGTAATAGAGCTGAAAGGCTGGTATAGGAAAAGTCGGCTGTATACACGGGGCATAGGATGGAGTCACCCTTCCATGAAATCCAATAAAACCTGATCTGGTCATGATTAACTCAGCATTTTAAAAATCCTTTTAAGAGTTCACAAAGAACATAATGTCTAGCCAACTTGTAGCGGTATATGAGACCCCTGATTCCCATGTCCCAGGATGTCAGCTCTCTGCTTGTTTCTGATTTTGATGCTGAACACTCCTTTCCTTCTCAGTTCCAGCTTATTTATTTAGCATCCTTACTGCTTTATCTCATTTATAATGAACCCACAAACATAAATAAGGAAAAGTTTCTTACACGGAAAACTGATCCGTTAGAGCAGTCTGAGCAAGGTTAACGTGAAAACCACCAACTGATACATGCAATTAGTGGCTGAACTTCCTCTTGTGCCCAGAATCTGTATGCTCAGCTGTGAAACTCATAAACAGAGAGAATGGAGAAGTGTATTTCCACCTTTGATGAAAATCAGCCATGCTCAAGCACCCTCTTTAAACATAGAAGACACCTCAGAACCTCGACTCCTTTAACTATTCCACATCGGACTTTGGAGTCAGACCAGTTTTTTCTTCTTTACTCCCTTGTGTGGGAATGTCATGGGCTGAGAAATGGAATTCATATTGCCTGCTTGCTCCTGAGGTCAACGGGAAAGTGACCCTGATAGAAACAGGATCAGTGAAGGATTTTATTAGATCTGGAATGTTTCTGAGAGGCCTTCATAAATTTGTATTCTGAGACAGAGGCCCCTTTTCCGTTTTACATAGTTTATGTGGAAACAGATGAATAACTAAGAGTGATTACTAAAGGAAGACAAATATCACGACTTGGGGTAAATTTACCTGAGACTTGATATCAGTATCCCAACTTACTTCTTTGCGTTGCTTTTAAAACTCTTTGTAAGATCACTATACATAGTAAAGAAACCAACTTTTGGCTTAGTAATGCTGTGCTAAGTAAAAATTGGTTTACAAAGCACCTTTCAACCAACTTGAACCAGAGCGTTGGAAGTGTTTATTTTAACCTTATGAGCAGCTCTGCACTGTATGGTGTTAGATACTTTTCATACTTTAATTCTTTAAAGCAATATCTAGACCAAATAGTTGCTTGGCTCTTCATCTACAACTAATTACGAAACAAAAATAATTTTTTCAAAAAGAACTAAGCTGCATAGTCTCCTTCATTTCCATTCTTGAACTTAAATGGTAATTTGTCTAGATTGGCATGACCTTACTACCACATATATATAGCATTAAGGTCTAGTTGTTTTTGCCTGAGAGGCAAAGTCAACGGGCCACACATGCCTACCCGTGTATTATGACTAAGAAAGGAAAAACATTCCCCTTTGTTCCTGAATAACAGGTCCTACAAGCTAGATGGATCTAGGACATGGGGGCTTAAGAGGAACTGCTATTCCTATTTCTATACAGAAGTCACAAAGGACCAAACTCAACCTATTATCTGTACATATGCTGAAGACTTGTATATGCTTACTTTAGCACTTAGGTGCATGAAGTAACCACCAGACTGATATCTTGAGCAATCATACCACACATCTGTTTCCCCAGGTGAAAACTTTCTCCCAAGGGTCATTCTGATTGTCTTGCTGCATTTATTTTGGCCCATACTTTATTGTAAAGTTATTTTTGTGTCACTACCGCTTTAGGTGTTTTGTTTTCTTAAATTTAGAAACGCGTCTACATTCGTGTCCCACTGTTGTGTTAGAAACAGATGGCACTTCCTGGAGACACACAGTTGATTGAACAGACACTGACCACTTTAACATGTAGTAACATGTTTGTAATTAGATATTCTAAAGTGCTAAAGTGCTAAAGACAATCACTATTAGAACTTCTTGAGAGGGAAATTTAGGTAGTATTTACCATGATCTGAAGGACGACTCGGATCCTTGACAGAGCTTTACTCTTGAGTATAAAAGACTACGGTTTCATACTGAATGATGTTGATTAAAGCTCCCACCTGTCTTCTCTCAGAGAAGATCATCCACTCCTGTCTTCCATGCTAGCCCACTAGTTTTGTTGACCCTTGTAATTGTACGTAAATAGCACACGAAGTAAGTTTTGGGATGCAACCAACTGATCAGAGTAATTAGCACCCCTGTAATATCACCAGTTTAGGGCTCAACTTCCCACCTGTTTTACAGTTGGAGCTGAATGCAGCTCCACCCCAAAAGAACAGAGTATCAGCCATTGTCACAATGGAAGAACAGTTGATAAAGCTGGAGAAAAAAAAGGAAAAAAAAAAGGTGATTAAAAAAAAATGAGGGGACAAATTACAGTAAAGCATTATGGAAGATGGGATAGAATACTGGAGTCTGTAAGGTAATTTAATTACTGTGTGGTTTATCTAAGTTGAAAGTCTTTAGCTGACTGCTGGGGGAAAGCAGCTGTAGCCCCTTTCACATGCCTCCCCCACGGCCACATGATTGGCTATAAGTAAACTGTTGCAATCAAGAAGCAGTTCAGTTTCAGAAGCAAAAGATCCGACTGGTTTTACCTTACTTACAGCAGAAATACCACAGGAGGTTGTGGGAAAGTGTCTTAAGTAAGGGCAACTATGAAAATTGTTAAACTTCTAGGTAAGGGAAAACCAATTTTACATCAAAATCTCTCATCTCAGCTGTTAAACTACAGTGGAATAGTTAGATATAATAGTTGTGAAAGATGAAACTGTTGTGACTTGATTTTTTTTTATTTTTTTAAGAAAAGAATAAATTGTTAATTCTAAGTTTGGATAAGGATTTAGCAATGAAATACTTGGAGGATAATTTGTTTTCCATGGTGAATTCTGTGTACAAAACTGATTACAGAATGGAGCCAAATCTCTGCCAAAGATACGGATAGGATCGCGAAAGCAGATGAGCTACAATTTCCCATGCACTAGAATTCACAACAAGGCCAGAAGCAAAATGAGCACAAGCAGAAAGTATTTCAAGAGCCAGGACTGAACCATGGGAGAAAGCTGTGCCTTTCTCTGCGAACCTTTAATCTCTTGAAAGATCTTTCTAAAGAGAGGTAAGCGTTGATATTCCAGAGAACTAGTACACTAATTTAAATATTCACTTTATAATTTGTGAAAGGTATCTTGGAAAACTATCTGAAAAGATTTCAGACTAAGGTTCACTGAAATAAAATTGCAAATGCTCTCAAGAAAAGGGGGTATTGAAGGAGGTTGTGAAAAAAGAAAAATAATGGACAATAAGGAGCACAACTTGGCAATGCTGTTTCAAGTGGAATTGGTTTTAATGTAATGGTCTCCTAGACTTAAAATTCTACAAGGGTGGTAAGGCTCTGGCACAGGTTGCCCAGAGAGGTGGTGGATGCCCCATCCCTGCAGACACTCAAGGTCAGGCTGGAGGGGCTCTGAGCACCTGATGGAGCTGCAGGTGTCCCTGTTCATTGCAGGGGAGTTGGACTAGGTGGCCTTTATGGGTCCCTTCCAACTCAATTCTGTGACTGTGAAATAAGAATGTCACAAGTACAGTTTTGATTTGAATTCTGCATTTCTAGCTTCAGATACCTATTGCAATGTGGTCTCATACTTTATAAAAACCCTACAGGATAACGGGGTAAAGTCATTTGAAAAAAAACAGAACACCACCTTTTGTGTCATAGGAAAGGTGTTGAAATGAAACATGACGTGGAAAATCTAAAGGACAGGTTGCAGAAGGCTGAAATAACAGACGCTTGTTATAGGGATGCCAAGAGCTCGTTAGTAGTCACCGTTAATAAAAAATACCCGTAAGCCAGCAATGTTAGGCCTGTAGGCAACAGTAAATCAGGGTTTGGTTTCTCAGAATGGTAGGGATTATGCACCCACATAAAGCAGCCTCTGCCCTGACAAGCATACAGCGTAATTGCTGTCCAAACACATCCCACTTCCTCGCTGCGATTGACTCATAACTGCTCTTGAAAAACTCCCATAGGAATATTTCTTGCAGGATAACAAGCGGCTTGATTTTTTTATTTTATTTTATTTTTCTGGCTTCCATCTTGAGAAACGGCAGAAGATGGCCCCAGCCAGGAGAGACCCCCGGGGAGCCGCACCTGAGGCGCTCCCTGCGCGAGGCGGAGAGCAGACAGAGGGCAGTGCAGCCCCAGCGCTGTGCTGCCTGAGCGGCCAGGAAGAGCCGGCTGGAAGGCGAGAAAAGAGCCGGATCCGGCGAGGGGAAACCGCGGCGGCGGGCTGGAGGAACTTTAAGTGGCACGTTCGCGTCCTACTCCGGTACCCAGGAACTCTCAATTTAGTGAGACCCCCGTGCCGCCGCCGCAAACAGCCTAGGCAAGAACAGCGCCTTCCGCCCGTCCTGAGGTAATCCCCTCATTACCGCTACTGCGCACGCCCAGAAGGGACGGGCCGAGGCCGCACGGCCCCGCGTCCTCCTTGCGGCCCCATCCGGGAACGCGATGACGTCATCGCCCCCGGCGAGGAGCGCGACCCTCTCTCTGCACAAGCGCGCCTCCGTACGCTCCCCAGGCTCGCCAATGAGAGCAGGCGGGCGCTACGCCTCCTGGGGGCTGTAGTCTGCCGCGTCTCCCCCGACCCCACGGCTGTACGGCCTTACGGGGCACGGGTCCGCCTCCAGCCTCTTGTGGGCGGGGCCAGCGCGCATCGCGGCCCAATAGCGGGGCGGGTGAAAGGTCGGCGGGCGGGTGCTACAACCAATGGGAGCGTGTGGGAGCCGGGCGGGGGCGGAGCCAGCTGTGTTTTGTTCAATTGCCATTGAGAAGCCTAGTCCATACGCGGAGGGGAGGCGGCCTGTGCGGGCTCAGGTACCGGCCGTTGGGTTCGGCGGCGGCGGGGAGGCTGCGGGCCCGGGTGAGAGGGCAGTGGGTAAACGGCGGTCCTCGGCGATAGCGATTGGGAGCTGCCGTGCGGTGGGAGCGGGGCGGGCGGTGAGGCTGAGGCTCCTTCGTGGAGCTGCGGTAACGGCTGTGTGTGTGCGGGGAGGGCACCCGGGGCTGCCCTTCCCTGCGGCGGCCTCCTGCGTGAGGACGCGTGTGGCGGTGGGGCTGCGGCTCGAGCTGAGCCTGGCTCCATTTTCCGCCGTTACAGGGAGAGTTGGGATGGCAGCAGCCCTGCTAAGAGCAGAAAAAAAAAATAAAGCAAACATACGTAAAAAAAAATTTTTTTTTTTTTTTTTTTTTTTTGAAAAAAGCACCCTGAAATCCTCACGAAAATACTTCATTGGCGTTCGGAATCTCTACAAGGATTTGGCAGGCGCTTAAAATCATCAGGTCGCGGGCCGGGTATTTAGGAGCTCTCCAGGCCTTTGTGCAGGCGTGGGGCTGCTCCCTGGGGTTGCTTCCATCCCCAAGCAGCCTCGGGCAGTTCGGTTCCGAGTGACGGCCTCAGTGTAACGGGCTGAAGCGTCAGACCCGCTCCTAAACGGGCTCTTTGTGCTGTGCCAGCTTTTCTCAGGGCTTTGTTCTGGTTGTTTGGCTTGCCAAACGCTCCTGCAGCCTGCACGCAGGATTCCATAAGAGTGGTTTCTGGGGATTTGAGGTAGCCCTCCGGGTTGGCATTGCGTCACTTCTCTCTTAGCAGACAGAGTCACAGAATGGCCAGGGTTGGAAGGGATCTCAAGGGTGATAAATCTCCAACCCCCCTGCCACATGCAGGGCCACCAACCTCCACATTTAATACTAGACCAGGCTGCCCAGGGCCTCATCCAATCTGGCCTTGAACACCTCTAGGGATGGGGCATTCCAGATAACTGGAAGTTGAGTGCCTTTCTCTTTGGGTGAGGCCCACGTCTCCCATAAGTGCTTAGAAAGTTCACGTGCTTTGTAGCAGTGCTGTTACGTAGGGGTAAGAGGCTGCTTTCAGCCCTGAGCTCAGGCCTGAGAGAGCTGAGCTCTGTTCTGCTTCGCTGTGCTTACATTAAATTTAGCTCCTGAGAACACTGGTTACAGCCCTTATGGTTACGCTGCCTCCGATTCATATCCTAACTGCTAGGAAATGTTTCCATCCAGGCCATTTTTGGCAAGAAGTAGAAGGTTTCTGCCTGCTGTGGTGAGCTGAAATATTTCTGGATAGATTTTAATTGTGAATGGGCTGATTGCTTCGGGTCAGGCTTGGGGAATCTGGAGCACAATGTGTGCTGAATGGCAGAAACTTTCCAAGCAGAGCATGTGACTTGAGATCTGGCTTTATTGGAGGTGCAATGAACGTGATATAAGAGCTTGTATCTTTACAATTATTGTGCTTCTGAAATGCCTGTGAGATGCACATTCTGAGGCAGAAAAACAATTTTTTGGGGAGCTAAAGCATGCATCCAGATCAGCTTTACATCAGGTGGTTTCCATGTGGTTAACGTGGAATTGCTAACTAAAAAATGTTTGCTACTCATTTATTTTGAATTTCTGAGAAATGCTACTAATGTCAGTATTCTTAATCATCCCTCATTTTAGTCAGTAGCAAGGCTCTTTGGCACATGGAAGTGCATGCTGGCTATTAGATACAAACTGAAAATGATCTACGAGATTCCTCTCTAATGATACTCTTCCAGGCCACCTTGTGCTGTGGCCATCTGCCTGTCCTCCAGCAGCCTGTATCTGCCGATGTGCAACTCACTGTTATTGTATCTTAACTTGAAAATTAGTTAAGTGACTGTAAAGAGGTGTCTTAGATTGGGCATTGTAAATTTCAGTATTTCCTCTTGAAAGCTGTTTAATGCAGGGTACTGTGATTAGGAAGAATGAGGAGGCTGAAAGAAGAAATATCTTTATTTGCAACGTTTGTGTTAAAATCTTGAGAAGCTTAATGCGTGGCATAAAGCTGAATTTATGAAAATACACTGGGCTGAGAATCGGAAAGTTGAGCTTTCAGGTTACTTTAGTTTATTACATTGATTGTTTTATTTTAAAATGGTATGTGGGGCTGATTCTTTCCTATAAGAATTCCTTGAGAGTCTGGTAACCATTATTGTGGCTCCCTTGTTTTAGTCCTGACCCCTTTTCCCTCTCTCTCCCTTCTCTCTCTTCCTCTATTGCCTCCCCCAATCTGCATTCCTTTGTGCTAGCAGTGATGATGGCAGTTCTAGTCACCTCCTGTGGTTTGATAGATTATTCCCTTTAGAAACATGTGTACTTAAAACTTTCCAAACATGATTCTTTTTTTCTGCTCCCACACTTTTTTGATGATGGTTTTGAGTTTTGTTTGTAGAATTTGACCTTTCTGTTTTTGCTTTGAATTTGCATAAATAGCAGTGAGAAATCTTGTTAAACCTCTAATGGAAAGTATTAGTTCTTATATTGTTGTTTACATTTCTTTTTGCATAGTTGGGAGGTGATAATATACACAGCAATTTTGCCTTTTGGCAGCACTGAGGCACTTCCCTGCAAGCATACAAGTCATTTTATTTTAGCAGGAAACTTTGTTTGCTTGAAATTTTTATTTCTCTAAAGTAAATTTGGGCTATTTTTAAATTACTGCATTTGTCATCTGTTGTTCATGGGCTATGCAAGTGTAAAACCTAAAATCAAGAGAATTGTCAGCACTCTAATATTAATCTTCTCTACTGTTGTTTTTTTTTTTGAGTCAATCAGTTCATGCAAGTAATGTCATCAACAAGCTGGCAAGGAAGTCACAACTGTCAGTGTTCTGTAGTGGGCAGAAATAACTTGTGAAGGCCGTGTTTCTGTGAATCGCTTGCTCGGGGTGAGGCAGCAGGCAGGGCTGTTGCTAAATACGTTATCTGGGTTATGGCTCTTGGTTTCCTGACAGCAGTATTCTTTCATGCAAGCAGCTGAAGATCTCGCTTTAGAATATACAGAAAGTTTCTTTACTGTATATAAAGAAGACTTACTGAATTGCAAAACCAGAATAATGCAGCTAGCTTTGCACTGCTTGTATTTGTGGTATGTTGTTGAAACCCTGTCCGTCACATGTGTAATGTTTACTGGTGCTAGTGGTAAGAGCAAGGGTTCTGATTACCTAATGTTAGCATCGTTGCTCTGAATTTGGCATGGCAACGTTGGCTGAAGACCTGTGAAAATGAACCTCCAGTATTTAAGTGCAGGGAAGAATACTTGCCATGGTATGTCAGATTGCAGGCCCAGAGCTTTGGGGCACACAAAGAACCTCACCCAATGCCAGAGGTGGTGATTGCCCTTGGATGTGTGTGTGGGTACAGATAGAGCTAAGGGTGTGAAACCAAGCTGCCTTTTGCTAGAGCTGTCATTAGAAGTGTTTGCAGAACTGTCTCAGAACAGTCGGAAACACATGTTGTTGCAGGAAAGGCATCTGAGATGGAAGAAAGCAGCTTTTGCTGAGCTTTAAAATTGGAACCCAGCTGGTTCAGGAAAGGGTTGGTGGAATGGCTGCAGCAGCAGCAGTGTCTGCACCTTTACTTTTGTGCTGATGTCTGTGATTTGGGAAGACAGGACATGAGTTCCTCTTTCCTGAAGAAAACTTGTTTCTCCTTGTTAGCCCAGGCAGTTGGCTTGCTGCTACTTCTTAGTGCATTTAAAACTTACAGGTTTGTGGAACATCACAACTATAATTCAGAGATTTCTATATTAATGCCAGAGTGAGTTAACTTCTTAAAACCAAACAAGAACCATTACTGTCCTAATGGGACCTCATAGGACAGGGCTTTGGCTCCTCTTCTACTGTCACCTTCCCTAGAGCCAAGAACAGGAATAATAGGAGCTTCTGTTGGTGCTATATTAACTTTAGGTCTCTAATTTGCATCTCAAATAACGTTGTGAACAGCTTTAATGCCTTTGAGGGGTTTGGGAGGTTTTTAAAATTTGTATGGTAAGTGTGCTTTTCAGTCTAATTGGGCAGCTCATATTATTATGGCATGTTTAATTCTTTTCTGTGCAGTTTGTGTTGAGGTAAATGGTACTATGTTCTTCCTTCACCTACTCTGCACCCATATTATGTCTTGCTATCTTGTTTGTGGCTTTACGTTTTGCAGTATTCCTGTTTTGCACTTCATGCAGTTACTAGTGGATACTTGGGTTCTTTATTCTACTTGTCAAAGCTTGCTCACAGGGCAAATTCTTGTCTGCTTCCTTTAACTCCCCCTACTTTCCCACTGACAGATGTATTCCTTTGAGGGTTCTGATTTGACCTCTTCTGATTTTAGAGGGGTGAAAACTTGAAGGAAGAAAAAAGAAGTTGTATGTCATTTGGATCTGTCGAACCCTGCTGCTTTTATCAACTTCCAGACTCCAGAAATCACATGCAGAATGTGAAAAAGCCTGGTGTGTTTGGAGTCTGCTGTGGTGTAGGATGTGAATCAAACATGGGATAGTGGAAATTTGCTTGGCCAAATGACTCTGGAACAGAACTTTTTTTGCTAATTTTTCACAGTCTTAATAGCAGTGGCAAATAATTACTTGTTATGTCCTGCTTGGAATGGAGCACAGTGCTGCGTAAGCATGCCCTAAGACTACTGCTGTATCACAGCATCATTTGTTCCATGATATTTAGTGAGGAGGAGGAGAGAGGAGTAATGACAACAGCATTTGGTAAGTAGCTAATCAGTGAACTGGCTAAATGTGGTACATATTTCTTCTAGTGGGAAAGGAGAAAGGAATGAGTACCTAGAACCTCATATTTGCTTTTTTAAAATACAGTTAGAAATAAAATGAAGTTGATGAATTTGAGGAGTGTGGGTAATTTGGGCTGAACTGAAGTGCTGTGGCTTGCTCTAAGGGCTTGGAAAGGTGAGATAACAACAGCAGAGCTCCTGGTTAGAAGAGAATATTTCTGTCACTGAAACCTGGGCATGAAGCTGAAGCTCAGGGCTGCTCACCTCTCTAGATGTCGTTTTCCACTTGAACTTAGCTGGGTGTGTGCTTGTT